AGCAGCAGCAGATGGGTCCTAGTGCCTGTCATCCCTGACCCAGTGTGGGTCATTCCATCCCGTAACCAGAAAAGGTTGCCTACTCCTGATAGATCTACGTCTGTTCTGCCTAACCATATAATAATTTAAGTTGTGCGTCCTTTCAAAGGCAAATGACATCAGCTTCTGCTTAGAGTTTACCCAAAGTACTAAACAAGTATGTAAGGAATCCCCACAACATTCCAGGGGGCAAATTGTTATCCTCACTTTCCAGATGTAGAGACTGAGCCACTGTAGAGGTCTGTTCAAAGCCATGCAGCTTTCCAATGAGAGAGCTAGGCTTAGATCTCAGGTCTTTCCTGATTCCCAAAGGTTTGCTTATTCCTCCAGACCACACTGCCTCTCAACAGCTGCCTCTTAATTGCTTGTGAGAGCATTCACGTTAAACTAATTATTAAACAAAGTAACAAGCCCAAGCAGCACTAAAAACATGATGAACGGTTTGCACCTTCTCAGCAAAATCAGCAGAACTCCATTTCTGCAATGCTTCATTTCCAATTTACATCTTAAAGATGTGTGACCTCCTCCCTCTCAGCTTCATGCCTCTGTTACTTTATACTTTATCTTGAAGTGATTAGATTTTACTTGTACAAACTGCACTTGCTACTGCGATAAGGACAGCTAAACACATTTATGCATTGTTCTGAAATTTGGGTAAAGATAATCCATAACAAATAAGCGATGCTGACTTTTTTTTTTTTTAACGAGCAAGTATACAGAGAGAGAAAGAGAGAAAGAAAGATGGACAACTAATCTAACTTGCTCAGTGAGGTTTCTCGGTTGGTGCTTTTCCTGACAACTTTAGAAGATATGGTATTTCTGGCCCGTGTACCTTTCCCTTTATCTTCTCAGTGAGTCAATTGCACAATGTTTTATCTAAATTTCCTTTTAGCAGAATGTTTGTTAATAATTTGGAAACAGCTAGATCCTAAAACTAGCTTAGTTCATGCAAAGTTACTGCAACTTTTTCTGTTTGCATGAGATGATATTCTAGGTTGTGTGTAGATGAAACGGGAGCCCTAAATTGAAGCAGTGGATTGTAAAAAACACTGCTTCATTTTAGAGCCATTAAACTGCTGTGTCATGCACACACCCTGCACTTACTTGCCTCTCCGGCAGGGAGGGAAGGGCAAGCTGCCAGTGGACAGAGCGGTCCCTGGGCAGCGGGGGCTGGTGCTTCCCTCTGCGGCAGCAGCCACCCCCTCCCCCCAGGCAGCACCTGCCCACAGGCACCCAGCTTAGGCAGTCTTGGGGGGCATTACAGCTGCGGAGGGAAGCGCCGGGCCCCTGCACAGCTCAGGCAGGCAGGCTCTGGGTGGGTGGCAGCGGGAAGATCAGCTTGCCGCTTTTTTTGGTCGGAGCCTGCTTTGCCGGGCTGCTGCCAGGCTGTCTGCAGGGCTTCCTGCAGAGCTGAGGAGCTGCACGGAGCCTGGTGCTTTGCTCTGTGGCTGTAGGGGCAGCAAACTAAAACTCCTCGAAGGGAGCTGCACCCCAAGTCATTTAAGGCGCATTACACCGCCGAATTTGCTGCAGTGGCTGGAATTAATGCAGAATACACCACCGAGATGTGCAAACACTGTGACACCATTAAAACATTTCAAAAACATTTAGTCCGCTTTAAAGTGTCATGCACACTTGTCTCTTGTTTCGTCTACACATGGCCCTACTCTTTGGGTGGAAAGTAAAATGGGAGTCCTGAACATAAAGATGCACAGTATTTTTCACAAGAGTTAAGGGCATATATCTATGACCCCCAATGTTAAGTGACACATCAGCAACAATACTGGTCAAGTAATAAGTTGCAGATAATATTATTGCCTTGCTTTCCTGGTCAATCTCAATTTTTACTTTTCAGTTTCTTGTGGCTCAGAACAACATTGGAGGATCTTGTAAACAATATGATGTTCAAGAATTCCAGGTTGGCAGACATGGGTGTAAACCTGCAGTGAGCTGGTTGAATTCCATTGGGTTAGTTACAAATTTCAAAGCTAACAATTTATTTAATTTTTATTTGGGTAGGTTTTCAAACTTGGTCACTGTGTGGATCATAATTACTCTGTTATGATGCAGTCCATACTGTGTAAAGTCTGTCCTTCATTGATCCAGAATCTTTCACTATGGAGCAGTTTCTCGCATGTTTAAAACTTGATAGGACAGCATCTCAAGTTAGGGAGATTCCATGGCTTCCCTTGGTATACAGTTTCAGAGCCTAACAAATATTTGGGTGTATTATGGCTGTGCAATAATATGGGCTTTTGTATATTCTTTTCTAAATTGCTGTAAGGTAGGAAGTCTCTACTATGAAATACCCCGTTTCATCAGCTGTAGTTCTGTATCCCTCATGTCCATGGGTTTTTTTCTTCTTTTTGTACTCTCTTGTACCTTTTTTAACCTGTTCCTTGGTACCATACAGACATAGTTGTCTCAAGTCATGGAGGTTTGAAGTGAATTAAGGAAATTGACATCATATCCTTAAAATTTTCTCTTTTAGGAAAGATATTGATAAAAGTGGAGAGAGTTCTTTTTCTTTCTTTTTGTTTTTCTGGGCTTTTTCTATTTTTTTAATGCATGCTACATAATACTGTTAGGGAATTTACTTGCATCACTTCTTTTTCCAGGACTAGCCCAGAATTAGCTGTGCAGGAACTTTACAGTCACTGTTCAGTATTTTTGCCACATTGTTCTGATATTATCTTTCCATTCTGTTGTTACCCTCAGATGTATTAGATATTATAAATCTACACTATTGCTCAATATTGGTGTTAATCATTAATTAATATCAGGTCCAAAAGAGCAAGTTTTACTTAGTTTCTTCCAACTTTTTTCTTCAAAACAGTCGGCCTCTACAGATTATTCTTCTCAAAATGAAGAACCTATTTTGTTATCTTGGAGTCTCTCCAAGATTTCGATTTCCCTGGGGAGGGAGATTTAAAAAAAAAAAAAGGGTTTCCAAAGTGTTGAGACTTTTAGAAAATGCTCCTCTGCTTCTTTGGCAGCTGCTCCCTGGTACAGGACATCACCACACCAGGAAAGGAAAAATCAAAGGCCTCTCTGTAAAAATACTGATCAGGGAACATTTACAAGATTGTTGGAGTTTTTCTTTTCAAGTAACTTTACTCAGTGTTTTCCACTTAGTATATACATCTATTCCTTTTTTCTTCTTTTTTTTCTCCAGCCTGTTGTTCTTAGTGCTGTTTTACACATGTGTATTCAGTGCAGGATCTATCTTGAATGCTCTAGAAATGGCCAATGTCCTGATATCTGACGCTAGGCTAGGCTTTGATTCAGGAAGGTATTTTATCATATGCCCAACTTCAAGCTTGTAAGTACTCCCATTGACTTCAATGGGACTGCTCCTGTAACTGCAGTGGTTAAGTACTTTCTTGAATCAGGGTAGAGAGGTTGCTGTGTTTCCATTACTGGCAAAAGAAGACAAATGGCTTGCTCTCACCAGTGAGCTTTTGCAGTGAGAGATATAGGGATGGTTACCAGCTGTGAATGCTTGTGGAGCAGGACTGTAAGAAGTTACAGAATACCATTTCTGCAGGGATGGCAGAGGCAGAGAAACTACCATAAAACTAGACAGTCTTTCTCTCCATTTATCTAAGTGTCTGAAGTTTCTAGTTTTGTGACAGATGAAAGACACATACGTATTGAGCAAAGAAACTTAATATGGAGCCAGCGTATTTTAATAAATAAATGGTTTAAAATTAATGCATCTCCATTGCTGTTATCTTTCCTATTCACTCATCTGAATTTTCCACTTTAATCTTATCTATTCTCCCTTCCTCCCCCCACACCCTGATGTCATTTCTGTTGCTTCTTTCTCCTTCATTTCTTGTGTTCCAGTAACTTACTTTATTCATAGCCAATCCTGAAATCCATATTCAGTCCTAATGGCATAACAAGCAGGGCTTGCATCCTGGGCAAACCCTGCAGAAGAGCAAAGGGGCAATGCAGGGAGAGGGGTGCAGTAGTTTTATCCAGTCCCTGGTTGTTGTTGCTATTATTGCTGCTGCTGCCACCACTGCCACCACATGCTCTGCTGCCCACCCTGGTTCTTGCTCTTAAAGTATCTGCAGTGGTAGCAGCATGGTGGTGTTCCTGAACTGCTGCTGCCATGTGGCTGGGGCACAGACTTCACATTCGTGGGGGACAATTTTGGCTCCTTTCCTAAGCCAGTGCCCAGGGCTGGTGCCCCTCTTATGCACCCCAGTTATGCTACTGTTGAGTCCTGACATGAGATAACCTGTCAAAATCTGCAGAGCTGGGATTTTGCTCCCTGTGTTTTGGCCTTAGGTTATCAGGTAGTTTAAAATCATACCTGTAGCAAACAATATGCATTTTGGGACATACAGTTAGGTCAACATAAGGCCATTTATTTTACATTTGCTTCTAGAATGAGTCCGTTTCCCTCCAGTTCTCCATTTGGAAGCTTGTTAGAGATATGCATACTGCTATAACATGCAAATTATAATGAGTGGGTGGAGAGCAAGTATTTTGTGTGATATGTTAGTAGTTTTGTTTTACTCATTTAAAGGCAACAATTTGAATGTGCTTATTTAACATTCAGCAAGCCCTCAAGGCTGAGAGTCCTGGGGGTATGAGGTGCTTAAAACAAAATAGCTTAGGAGCTGCAGAGATAATCAGATGCAGGAAGGAAGACGGGGAAAGCAAAGAATGTAATGAACAAGGACCAAGATATCTTTAGTACCACAAAGCACACCCCTATAACTTCCTGTTTCCCCACACCTCAAGTGCACAGACTGCTGGAGGCATGCTGATTGGCAGATGGATGCTCCTGCCAACGCTGTAGTAACTCATGTGCTTTAACAAATGTTTTGCAGCACCAAATATATTGTTTACATAACTGGTCATTTCTGACACTGGGAGGTAGAGCGAGGGACCTTCGCCCCTTCTCCTCCCTCACTCCCAGCTTGTGGTCTTTGTATTCATCATAGGACTGGAAGGGGCCTCCTGGGCCATTGAGGTTGGACCACTGTGTTCCCAAGCAATTGTTACCTGAAAGAATCCTCAACATCAGCAGTCCAAATCTTCATCTATAACTACAGAGCATAATATATAAAATACCAGTATTTGGTATTTGCTGCTCCGCCTGTAACTTGCACTCCTCTCTCCACCAGACAGGCAGGTAAGTACGGGGTGTGTGCATGACACGGGGATTTAATCAGCCCTAAAATGAAGTGGTATTTTTTTAAAACCACTGATTCAATTTAGGGCCCCCTAAATTAACCTGCCACAGGTAAAAGTGGAGAGACAAGGGCCCTGCCAGTGCTGTACTACTACAACAACAGGAAAGTTGGCTAATATATGCTCAGTCAGTCCTAGGAAAAGGACCATGCCCCTTGCTATAAAGGCAGGCAAAAAAACCCACAGTCTGTGCATGTCTTACCTAGGGAAAATATTTCTTCATGACCCCAAAAATGGCTATCAGGATGACCTCTTGATGCTAGAGGGAATTTTGTGTATAGCTAGAGCAAGGTACATAGCCCTGAAAATGCTGTTATGGCTTTACGGCAGGGCATAATGAATCAGTAACCAATACTGCTAGAGTTTCCTAAAACTCTGCAATTCAACAAGAAGTTTAAGCAGGTAAATAGTTCTATTGACTTTGAACTGAAGTTACTCTAAGAACATCTTGCTGAAACTAGAGATGACTGTAGTTTTGAGTTTGATGGAGAATCTAGGATGATGATCCAAAATACACATTATCCTTTTAGGTTTTGTTTTATTAAGAGACATTCTAATGCTGCCTAGCTGCCCAGTTTGTGGGATGGATTGTAGCTACAAAAATGGGAAAATGTTTCTTTTGTTATTGAATCATAACTCCCATAAGTTGTGTAATTTGCATGAAAATATTTACACATATATATCTTGGTGACAAGTATAGATCCAACTTTGTTGCCTTTTTAAAAATATTTTTTCTAATCTTAACCTGGGAGCAGGGTCCCCTGTAGCTTACTTAACACCTGTAAATTCTTATCTTTTATAACCGTAACCAAGTCAGTTAAAGGATAAACAATGAGCCTTATATATTCAATTGTTAGCGAGTCTAGCAGTTATTAAAGAGATTGTTATACTAGAATTTCTATAATGTTTTATCCCAAGAGAGTGATTATTAAAGCATTTGCTTCACAGTTAATGTTATTGCTACATTTGTAAAAGAGCTCTAGTTTTGATCCCAGATTTAAGTTGCTGATAACTTCTAGAAAAAGTAATGTTTTGGGGCTGAATTTCTTTACATTTGGTTCAGTCTGAAATTTAAATTGTTTGTGGAGAAGTCTCTCAAGCATTTTTCATTGCAGAAGGCTAGGAGAGGGAAAATCCTCTTTTTTTTTTTTAAGTCATACTCACCCCCCCCAACCCTCCATAGATAACTCTTTGGTGTCTGGAGTTTGAACTCTGGTGTGTAGGTAGTGCCCATTTTTTCAGCATGTCCATGAAATATTATATTTAAATGGCATAAAAATTCAAAGAATGTTAAAAGCTACCCACATGATAAACAGGGTGCAAATTATATGTGCTTCAAACTTTGAATAAAGTATCAAAATAGGATCAATTATGATCTGAAAAGCACATATAAAAAAACTTTTTAAACTGTCTCCAGATGGAAAATGGAAACTTAGTTTTTGCCAAGGACGTTTTGAGTGACCTTCAGCCCTTATCATGATAATCTTTTCTGCGTTCCACGGGAATTTGTATACAGGAGTGACTCCTTGTTCTTGGTATCAAATGCCATAACTTTAAAATAATGGTGAGAAGAGGGTGGGAGAAATGGAACACAATGTTCAACTATTGTCTTAGTTCCCCAATTATTGCATGCTTCATAAAATTAAATGATACTGTAACTGAAAAGTCATTGCCGGTGTTGCAATTTATATAGGGTCTAATCAAACTTCCATTGAAGTCAAGGGAAAGATTCCTATCAACTTTATTATACGTTGGATCAGGCCCAATCCTATCCAACATATTAATATCACGCAGTTTCCTCCAATTCTCATGTTGTAGGTGTAATAACCACAATTGATTCATTAAACAGTACATGTAATGACCTCAGAGGATTTCAGCATAGTAATAAGACAGGTATAAATTTCCCTAAAAGAACTGTAACAAACTTTTGTTGTAAAATGTATTCACATACAATATACTTGAGTATACAGGACAGCCTCATTGTAACATTCCCTGTTTAGCACAAATGCCTGCTTTTAATGCTGCCAACAGCAGGAACCACATTTTAAATTTCATTATTACAATGCAGCAAATTCACTAACTCAATGATAAGAACCAGCTTATTTTAATGAAACTTACTCCCAGAGTCTTGGGGGTTAATTTTAAGGAGGTTGTACTGTATTTCAAAAATTGCCAGTGGATTTTAGAAGCTCTAACATAACAATATTTAAGGAACTTTTAATTTTAATTTGAGGGTTTCAGATGCTCTACACATGATGGTTATTCCCCTTTGACAAATGGAGAAACTAAGGCACAAAGAAGCTAAGTGATTTGCTCAGAATTGCCTAGCAATTTGTGACTGAGCCTCTGGGTTAGATGCTTTATTCCCTAGTCTGCTGCTTCTCTACTTGAAAAAGACAGTACTGTTTATTTGTGACCCAATTCGCAGAAAAATTTGTTGGCATTTTGGTAATCTCAGTTGGATTAATTGGTTTTATACAAATGGAATCTTTTGGGTCAGATATAAGGAGCATTTTTTTTCTTGACTTAACTGTACTTGCAAACAAAAAACAGAGGGAAAAATGTGGCCCATTGGGTTTTGGGCTGAATTTCTTAAAATGGTTCTCAGCTTTGGAAATTACATTTCCTATATACTGGACCAGAACAGAAGGTTAGTAGGCGATGGATTCCTTTGGGTTATAAATGATTATGTGGCAGCATCAAGCAAGACAATGCACTTGAAAGAACAGCTTGGTCTCACTGAAGAATACTAGTGTCTTAATCCAAAACACAGAAGTGATGGCTTGTCTGGTGCCATAGATAGATGGTAGCCAGTAGGCCTGTGGGAAGCTTTGGGTGGTGATTCAGTTCAGAGGAGATTCAGCCTGATTTGGTGGCCAGATCTCCGAATCTGAATCAAATCAGGGGACCACTTAAAAGGTCTGAATCCATTCAAAGCTTTCTAAATCTTCTCCCTAGCCTTCCCCATCTCCCAGTCTGAGCCCCCCCCCAAAAAAAAAATCCCCCAGCCCTCACATGGCTACCCTACCTGCCATGGCTCTGGCCTTTTATGAAAAAAAAACAATGGAGAAAAGCCCTGGGACTTACTGCTCCTGCAGTGGCTTTCGGGGGCTCGTGCAGAGCCCCCCCCATGCAGTGGGGAGCAGCAGGGATCCCTCCCACCGGCAGGAACAGTGAGTG